GTAGCTTTCCCTGCAACCGCAAGAGGTACAACACCGCTCTCATCTCCGTCCAAGGCCCTAAACAATCCTTCCAGATCTGGCAGAGATTCACCGGCACTTCATCCAACCTGATCTATGTGGTCTCCTCTACATCGGGGAGACTAATTGCGGACTCGGGGTCTGGTTTGCAGAGCATCTGCGCTCTGCACGCACCAACCAACCCTACCCTCCAGTTGCCATCCATTTTAATTCCCCCTCCCACTCCCCTGGTGACATGTCCATCTTTGGCGTCCTCCACTGTCAGAGTGACGCCAGACGTAAACTGGCAGAACAACAACAATATTTCGCCTCGGGAGTGTACAGCCCAATGGCCTCAATATTGACTTCACCAGCTTCAAAATCTCTCTCCTCACAGCTTTATCCCATGTCCAGCTCTCCCCCTGCTGACCGGACCTGACCTAACCTGTCCATCTTCCTGCTCACCTGTCCGCTCCACCCTTCCCATTCATCCCCACCTGCATCCACCTGTCATCATTCAAACTACCCTTCCCCCAACCCCACCCCCCTCCCTCTATTTATTTCTGGGCTCCCCTCTCCCTTCCCCTCCCCAGTCCTGATGAAGTGATTTGGCCCAAAATGTTGACTTTCCTGCTCCTCTGATGCTATCTGACCTGCTGTACTCTTCCAGCCTCACACCTATTGACTCTGGGATTCTTTGCCTTGGATGATGTTGAGCCTGTTGAGTATTATTGGAGTTGCACTCATCCAGGCAACTTGATAGGTTCCTTCAGTTTTCAAGCAGAATTTTAAATGTATGTCAAATATAATTTTATCTTTTGTGATCTTTAACATTTATTAATTAAACATCAGCCAGAAAGCTGGCATCAATCATAGAAATGACCTTGGCCCCAGGTGGGGAGAGTGAGAGTGGTGAGTTTCTGCTGACTATGCCTGTTTGAGGCAGCTCATCAAATAACACTCGGCTTTTGAATGTTCAGGCACTAACAGTCAGTCATATTCATGACTCCAGTCTACATACTGCAGTCAGCAATTATTTCAGCAACCCACAGATAACAGTTTATTTCTGTTGTATCACAACGACAGGACAGATAGTTAAAATGGTGTAATGCAGTCATAATAACATTATCACAAAATCCCTACCGTGCAAAAGGAGGTCATTCGGCCCATTGAGGTGGATCAACTCCCTGAAGAGCATCCCGCTCAGACCCAGCCACAGACCGTATCCCATAACCCCACATTTACCCTGGCTAATCCACTTAGCCGACACACTCCCGACACAACAGAAAATTTTAGCACAGCCAATCCACCTAATTTGCCCATTTTTGGACTGAGGGAAGAAACTGGAGCACCCAGTGGAAACCCACGCAGACAGTCACCCATGGGTGGAACTGAACCCAGATCCCAAGTGCTGTGATCCACCGTGCTGCCCTAAATATGTATTTATTATAATTATAAATTTCTGTTTCTTTTACTCCATGCTGGAGAAGGAGAGACAGAGGAGAGGAGTGACACAGTCAGGAGGAGCAGTACAAGAGGAGCACAAACAAAATTGGGAAGAGGAGAGAAAGCAAAAGAGAAGAGAATGGAAGGGAAAGTAGAAAAGATAACCATGAGGAAACAGATGGAGGAAGGGCAAGTAGCCTATGTAAGAGTTGACATATAGAACAAGTTACTCCCTGCCACCAGTACTATCCTCCCCTGTGCCTCTCACCCTGTGCCACTTTCCCCTGTGCACCTCCTTACGTCCCTTCCATCCTGTTAAAATGCTGATCCCACCACTGGACATCATTGCTGCCTTGGATGCTGTGGGCCTTCCTCTTCTGATCTGCCGTCAAACACATACAAGGATACACAGCCTCCACTGATGTTGTCAGTTTGAAAGCCTCTGAGGATGAAGAATGCTATTCCCACACTAGAAATCTCTGTCAAACATTTACCAGGGGAACTGAGACAGCAGCTGCAATAAGTGAGGTTTTATTCAGATGGGACATTGACAAGTTTAAATCCCCACCTGATCTGATGCTTAAAGTCACCTCTATTTTACCGGTCAGTTTCCCAAGCTTCAGGAAACTCATGTTGCTGCAGAAATATTTGGATTGACTGTGAGAGACGTCAATCAGAGAGCCCACCCACTCTGCCCATTCTCTCCTCTTCCTCTTCCAGAGCTGGTTCACTTCCTATAGAGTCTGAAAACCAAGTGAGGAGATGGTGAGTGAAGGAGCAGCTTTTATACAAATTGTATTCTATAATATCCACACCAATCTTCAGGCAGTTTGACTATCCTGTGGGCAGTCAGGGGTGGAAATGTCCCTTATGCTGTGTGAAAAGATCCAGCTGAGCGAGCTGTTTACTCAGGGCTTTGTGCTGAACTGTTTGACTGGAGCTGTGTGTTGGATATTGAGTGTGTTTATTGGAAGCATTTCCCTTCTGATTTCCAGACTGAGTTTTGTTGATGGCTCATTCCTGAATATGAGAAGGTGAAGTGTCATTATCTGGGAGGTGCAGATTATCTGAGGATTCTTATTGATTTCCTGGTATTGAGTTATCTGTGTGTATTTGGAGCTGGTTATTATGCTGTGGACAGATAATGATTGCTTCTCTCTGTGTATTGGGATCTGGACGTTGCAAGCTTTTCAAATCCCTCCAAGACATATTTGTGACCCTTTTTTTGTAACTATCTCAGAAAAATGCAAAAAACTCGTATTCAATTTGATATCATGCGTGATCACCAGATAGCCCAAAACACTTTACTGCCAATTAAGTACTTTTGAAGAATGGTCATTTTTGTCATGGTCTGTGTTGTCATGCGATGTGTACACAGCTTAAGAGAGCAGAAGGGACTTCATTTGAGATCTAATTTGAAACGTAGAATCTCTGTCAGTACTGCACTCCCTCACTGTTTCAGTGGACTTGTGCTCGTATCCTTGAGATGTTCTTTTCAGATTTGTCTATGGGATGTGGATATCACTGACCAGGCCAGTATTTATTATTTGCACAGAGAAAAGTTAAGAGTCAACTACAGTGCTGGAGTCACATTTAGGTCAGACCGGGTAAGAGTAGTGTTGCCTTCCCTAAAGGACTTTAGTGAACCAGATGAGTTTTCTGACAATTGACAATGCTCTCATGGTCATCACTGGACTCCAGATTTTTCAAACTGAATTCAAATTGTACCATCTGCCATGGTGGGATTCAAACCCGGTTTCCCAAAACATTATCTGGTTCTCTGGATTAATAGTGTAGCGATAATACTACGACACATCGGCTCCCTTAGAAGTGGGTCTTGAACCTACAACCTTCTAATTCAATAGTGAGAGTCATACCTCGTGAACTGTGGTTGTACGTTAGTGCAGTCCTTTGACCCTGTAAGATGTTTGATCTCTTTCCGTTATAGTTTCTTGAGCATCAGTGATTTTGATTGTTCCGGGTCCTTAACTCTGAATTCCCTCACTGATCCTCTTTGTCTCCACACTTCTTTATCCTTCTGCAATGAATTAATTAAAGTCTACCTCCTTGGTTTTTGGTCATCTGGACTGATACTACCTTACGTGCCTCAATGTTAAATTGCTTTGAAAGGTTTTGTCAAGTGCTTAGGGGCATTGAACTATGATAAGGGTGATAAATAAATGCACAATGTTCTATATAAATTAGAAGCAGTGGTACAGGGTCTGGAGCCTGCAGATTGTCTGGTGTTATGTAAAAGGTTAGAAAGTGACCAGGCATTCAATGGGAGTAGCATAATTCCCCTGATGGCTCATGATCTTACTGACCCTTGCTGTGAAGTAGTCTTCCAGTGGGGGACTCACTGTGAAGGAAGACTGTAAACTCACATCTGTTTCCTTTTTATTCTTTGGGTTTCTTTCTTTCAGTCAGCAGCTTACTTGCTTTCAGCGCATCATTTGCTTCTTTTCTTGCTCTATCTCCATTCCCTTTAATCCTGGAATACTCGTTTTTCTGTCATTCAATCTCTCCTATATTTCCCCATCACAGACCTTCCTTTGTCTTTGTCCCACCCACCTCTTGCTCATCTCCAACTTTTCCCTGTTGTGATGAAAAGTCACAGATCTGAAATGTTAACTCTCATTTTCTCTCTAGACAGATATTGTTTGACCACCGGAATTTTAAAAGCATTTTCTATTTATATTTCATATTTCTGGTTTCTGCAGTATTCTGCTTGTTGATGGTGATGAAGGAATCTGGGAGGTTTCCAGATGCATATGATTCACTGAGTTCCCTGCTACTTGACCAGTCTGTGGGCATCTCCCCTGACCTGGGGACTTGTCCTCAGACCTTGGTGAGAGAGATTTTACACGTTTCACTGGGCTGAGATCACCTTCATCTTATTCTGACACATTGCCAAAATTGTTCAGCCCTCTGTGATTATCCTCTTATTATTTGATTTTGTATTGTCAACCATGTTATTTGGGACTGGGGTCACACCTCGACCACACCAGACAATTGTAGCAGATTTCCTTCCCAGACAGACATTATCTGGGATTTCAGAACCTTCAGAAAACTTACATGTTTTTGTTTTGATTCTGTTCCATAAATTCCAAAATTTATTAAAGTATATTTCACAACATGGAGTGGTTGAGGTGAAGAGCATTTTAAAGGAAACTAGATAAACACATGGAGTGGAAGGGAACAGAAGGATCTGCTGATAGAGTGAGATGAAGAGAGTGAGAGGAGGATCATGTGAAGCATAAATACCAGCATGGACCAATTAGGCCAGATGGCCCATTTCTGTCTTTAATTCTATGTATGAACCTTTCTGTGGTTGGATTTGAGCCCTCAGTCTTTGGATTGTAATCTAGCACCATAGCAATTCAGCTGCCTTAGCCGGAGACACATTTATTGAAATGCCATTTTAAAGCCTTCTTTTAAAAATTTTACCTGAAGATCTCAGCCTTTCCCAAAAGCCTGGGCTTGGATTTGCTTGTTTTGTCCAGATAACTGAATTTTGGATTGCAGTCTGACTGAGTGCAGTTTTTCTAATTTCCTAGGATAAACCAGAACCGTTTAATCAGCTACACTGAAGCAATATTTTCCTCAGTTTCTAGTACTTCCTGCTCAGTGTGTTTTCCTCAAGTAATTTTGGAAAACAAGGGGAGAAATTTCAAAGTTGCAGTTGAATTAACACTTCTTCTTCGTGTTTTGTTACATTAAAGAGATACTGTCAGGGTAAGACAGATCATCACTAGCTCAACTCAAGCTCAGAATGAATTAGTAGCCAGTGACATCCATATCCTGTGAATGTACAAACATAAAAATTGAGAAGTAAGCCCCTGTAGTAAAGGAGGAGAGGGAGCTGGAGGAAATCATGTTTCCTTTTCCTGTTTTGCAGAAGGATTGTACCATTCTACATCAGAGAATACAGAGGGGATAGCCACCATAGACAGATCTTGACCATCATCCAAGGTACAACTGCAGAACTGTATGAAGACATCCAGTCCCTTCGCAGCATTGCTCAAAACAGGTTGGGCCATGAAATCATTGGTCAGGTCAGGGAGCTTGGACGTATCTTCAGGTCTAAAACTAGTCAGCAGTGTGGAGCTTTCTGTTAGAATCATCCTTTCCAAAGGTTCAGCTGTCAGCAATTTGTCAGGATGAGGCTGGGAGGAAGTGTGAGTTCATCAAGCCTCGTGAACCACTAAGCCACTCTTACAGGTGAGAGGCTGTTCATGTGTGAGGATGACTCCACCAGCTCATTAGATCTCCCTGCAGGCAAGGAACATCTTTTAAACAGCCAGATGGAAGAGAAACAATTCAAATGTGATGTGTGTGACCAAGACTTCACACGGCTATCGTCGCTTGTGAAACACCAACGCATTCACACAGGGGAAAAGCCATTCATGTGTGAAGTGTGCAACAAAGCATTCTCTGATTCATCAAACCTTCGTGTCCATCTGCGCATTCACACAGGGGAGAAACCATTCACATGTGAGGTTTGTGACAAAGCCTTTATACAGTTATCGAGCCTGCTGGTCCATCAGACAATCCACACAGGGGAGAAACCCTTCAAATGTGAGCTTTGTGGTAAGGTTTTCTCAACATCTACCAGGCTTCTGATGCACCAGAGAGTTCACACAGGAGAGAAACCCTTCAGATGTGAGGTTTGTGAGATGGCTTTCACCCGATCCTCTGAACTTCTGATTCACCAAAGGATTCACACAGGAGAGAAACCCTACCATTGTGAGTTTTGTGACAAATCTTTCTCACAGTCTTTGAATCTCCGCAGACACCAGCGGATTCATACAAAAGAGAAGCCATTCAAGTGTGAGTGGTGTGATAAATCATTCTTCGAGTCCTCAAACCTCTGCAGACACCAACGCCATCATACAGGGGAGAAGCCATTCAAATGTGAGGTGTGTGACAAATCGTTCTCAGAGTCCTCAAACCTCCGCAGACACTTGCGCCTTCACATGGGAGAGAAGCCATTTAGATGTGAGGTGTGTGACAAATCCTTCTTTCAATCATCATATCTCCACACACACCAACGCATTCATACAGGGGAAAAGCCGTTCACATGTGAAGTGTGCAAGAAATCATTCTCATATTCCTCAATACTCCGCGAACACCTGCGCATTCATACAGGACAGAAACCATTCATGTGTGAGCTTTGTGACAGATCTTTTTCACGGTCTTCGAACCTCCGCAGACATCAATACATTCACACAGGTGGGAAACTATTCACATGTGCTGTGTAACAAATCATTCTTGCAGTCATCGCATCTCCATGTACACCAACACATTCATACAGAAGAGAACCATTTCCATTCAAAGTGTGTGACAAATAAATTTCTCACATAATTAAACTCTTGCATGCACCAACACATTCATACAGCATAGAAGCCATGCAAAGTCTGTGGCAAATTCTTCACACACTTACCGAGCCTCCTGGGATATAAGACAATCCACACAGGGGAGAAATCCTTCAAGTGTGAGACTTGTGTTAGAACTTTCTTGACATCTAGGAAAACTCTTGATGCAGAAGAGAATTCACCTGGGAGAGAGGTACTTCCAATGCGAGGTGTGTAATCAGGGCTTTGCTCAATCATTGAAACTGGTGAAAAGACAATGCATTTGTACAGGGGAAATCCAGTTCATCTGTGAGGTTTGTTACGAAGCTATTCACAGTTATCAAGGCTGCTGGTCCATCAGAGAAACCAGATGGGAGTGGCTTGCAATGTTGGGATGGCACGGTGGCTCAGTGGTTAGCACTGCTGCCTCATAGTGCTAGGGTCCCAGGTTCAATTCCATCCTCAGGCGACAGTCTGTGTGGAGTTTGCATGTTCTCCCTGGTCTGTGTGGATTTCTTCCAGGTGCTCTGGTTTCTTCCCACAGTCCAAAGATGAGCAGGTTAGGTGGATTAGCCATGCTAAATTGTCCCATAGTGTCTAGGGATGTGCAGCCTAGGTGGGTTAGCCATAGGAAATGCAGGGTTATAGGATAGGGGGTTGGCTAGGTGGGATGTTCTTCAGAGGGTTGATATGGACCTGATGGGCTGAATGGCCTGCCTCCACACTGTTGGGATTCTTCTTCTTCTTCTGAGATTGATCTTCTTAGGATCAGCGGATGCAGGCTAGTGAGAAACCATTTTGCATGAGCTTTATGACAAAGCTTTTTAACACATTCAGCATATCCATGATCCATCAATGCACTCAGGAAAGGAAGAAACCCTAACAATGTGAATTCTGTAATAAAGTCTTCACACATCTGTTAGAACTCCTGGAACATTAGTTAACCCACATGGGAGACTCTTCCAGTCTGACGTGTGCCAGGATTATTTCTTCCACTCCCTGTCTGTCACCACACACCAATACAGACATTGAACCAAGTTACCTGCTTTCATTGCACTGAATCACTCACTGACTCTCCTCTGACCAAGAAGACAATCAGATATTCAGTTGTTAGAAAGGCTTCAGCTTCTGACTGACCAACACAAGGACCCAGGAGAGGTGCCGTTCCTGTGGTCATCATAGAGGTACTTCAGTTAGCCTCAGTATCTTTGGTCTGTGGAGGTGGAGAATCAGCCAGGAATCCCATTCCTCATCAGTCAGTCTAGCTAGGAATTTTTTTTTTGGAGGGGGGCGCGTGTGGTGGTGAGTGGGGCAGAATGTGTCTTGGCTGCGACAGTCTCCATTGTCTCACAACATTCACTGTCTTGCTCTCCACATGCTGAACGGCCACTACAGTGCAGTAGAGGTCAATCAATGTCCACAGTCTGTCCTCCAGGTTAGTACCTTGAGGATTGATGGGAATGTGAGAGAACAACAGCTCCTATTTTGAATTTTGAAGAGCACTTTGAATTTGTAAAACATCCCAAATCATTCAAGGATATGTCATCAGATGAAAACTGATATTGAGACAAAAGAAAAGAGATTTTGGTGGGGGGTGGGGATGACAAAAACTATGGTCAAAGGAGTGGGATGTAAGTAGGGCATAGAGCTAAAGGTAAAAGAGGTTTAATGAGGGAATGATAAAGGTAGGAGACTGATATGGTTGTCAATGATCTAGTAAATGGAGTGATTGCAGAGGTAAGGTACAAAGGCTGGAATTCAAGGAGCACTGAGATCACAGTGGGAGATGAGGCTTAAGGTGCCAGATATCAGAAGTGAGTGAAGCCACTTGAGCGTGAGAGTTTTAAATTGGAGCCACTGGGAGACTGGGAACCAGTGTAGGTCAGTGAGTGCAGAGGTGTTAGATGTGAGAGTTACGATTGAGCGTGCAGATTTTTTCAGTCGAATTTCTGCCATGGTGATATTCGAACCCATTACTTATGTTCCGAAGTTCTGAATTACTAGTCCAGTGAAATGGCTATTACATCACCACCTTGTGAAGGATATTATCTAACCAATATGTTCAGAGATTTAGCAGAACTGAAGTTTATGGAGGGTGGAAAATGGGAAGCTGGACAGGAGAACAATAGAATGGTCAGTCTAGAAGCAACAACAGCAGGGATGAAGATTTCAACAGCAGATGGATTAATACGGGAATAGGAGGTGTATGGAAATGGTTGGTGTTATAGAGGGGGATATTGGTAATCTTTGTGATAAAGAGGGTTATGGTATGGAAGCTCAGCTAGAAGTTAAAGAGAATGATACTGACCAATTGTTTTTGGAGATGATAGTGGAGAGGGCAGTTGAGTGAAGGAATTGGGGTAATTTCTTGAACCTGTTATACCACTGAACTAGATCATGGCTGATCCTATCTACCTGCCTTGACTTGTAACCTTTAATTCCTTTCCTAACAATAAAATAAATTTTCTGTGTTGAAATTTTCAGTTGACCCTGAGCTTCAACAGATTTTTGTGGAGATAGAGTTCCAGATTTCCAGTGTCCCTTTTATGAATAAGTGTTTGCTGACATAACCATGGACAGCCTCCTTCTAAGTTTAATGCTTTGCCCCTTGTCTGGACTCTCCCACCAGGGGAATTATTCCTCTCTCCTCTATCAACTTGTTTATTAATCTTGAACACTTTAATCAGTTTACCCCTTTGTTTTCTATGTGCAAGGGAATACAAGCTCAGTTTGCACAACCTGTCCTCATATTTTAACCTTTTAGCCCCAGGATTATTCTAGTGAATCTACACTGCACTTCCTCCAAGGCCAATATATCCTTCCTAAGATGCCTTGCCCACAACTAAACACATTTCTCTGATTAGGGTCTAAATAGAGTTCTGTACAGCTGGACCATAACTTCCACAAGGACACAGTTGGTTTTAGGGAGGAGAAATTGTTTGTTATCTTCTCTCTTCATGATGATCCTAAAGTAATGAGATGTTTTGGCAGAGGAAGCATGACCCCACTAATAATTGATGTGGTGTCGATCTGGTGATGGATTGCTAAACCTGTTGCGTAAGAGTTATGTTCAAACCGTAATCCCTTTCATCTGAGAAATGGGAGGGAGTAAAGGTTTATTTTGCTAACAGGTGTAGAACATGGATATAAGGGAGCGGTTAATCCATTTTGACAGTTAGTTACATTGTGAAGACTGGAGGGCCAAAGGACAGAGAGTTGAGAATTAAGTTTATGTTTCTGTGTCTTTAGATTGCATATGGGGTAATGTTGGACACTGCTTTAGGTAATGTGAATTATAAGTATTTGACAAATACCATGGAGAATGTTTGTACTCTTCTGCCTGGGAGGACTACTAGCTTTAGTATAGAGAGGGAGTTGGGTGTGAGTCTCCACAGGCCTTTGTTCCTTCATCCAATCGTACTTGATGTAATAACAGTGTGATATATTCAACCTACACTTTTCCAGGTGTCACTTCATATTCTAGGAAAAACCTTGTGTCAATTTCAAATGCTGTGTTATTTTTGTATGATTCATAGCTGAGTATTGTGTTGTTGGTCTGTTGTGTGAATCTTTATAGATTTATCTCTCAATAAATTAATTTCTTTAACTTTACCCAAATTCCTTGATTTGTCAGCCTGATGTTCCTATTCATTGAAACACTCAGGATCCTACAATAAGTGTCCTGTGCATAGTTTATTAAGCAATATTAGTGTAGGTTGAGTTACTTTCTTCATCTTTGTGTGCTTATTGAAATAAAAGAATCATTTAGTTAGTGAGGCCCATCAAGTCCCTGCCAGCTCTCTGTAGAACAAGCCAGTGAGTCCATTCCCCTGCTGTATCGCTTTTGTTCTGGAAGTTCCTTCAAGTCTCCATCAAGTTTTTTTTTTAAAACCAGTCAACCAGTCATTGCCTCCACTTCCTTGTAGTCCACAAGTACCAGGTTATTACCTTTCGCTGCAAAAAACAGTTATTCCTCACTGCTGTTCTGCATCTTTTGCCCATACCCTCATCCTTGCACAATCAGATAATGGGAAGGGTTTCCTGTTTTTCTGACCATATTATGTATAAGGCTGAAGAAAACCAAGTTCATTCAATGATACAAACTTAATACAACCCTGTTAATTCTAAAATGGACTTGGATTTTGATTGCGCCTTTGATAACCACCACATGTCTTACATCTCTGTGCAGGCAGTGGGCTGCTGTCATTGCTGCAGTGTCAGCAACACTGCGACAATGACCAGACAAGCTATCTTTTATTGTCATTAAATGGGGGACATGGAATGCCCAGAACACTAGGGAGAACCCCCTTGCTCCTTCAAAAAGTGACATTGGATCTTTTTCATACACCAGAGAGAGCAGATGATACTTTGGTTTAATGTGTCATCCAAAAGATAGCACCTCTGATTGTGCAGCACACCCTCAGTACATGTACCTTATATATTTATATATACATACACACACCTTAGATGTGTGTTAGTTAGGGCAGGGAAAACAAACCAATATTGATGCCAATGTTATAGTTTCCAGCAGGGAAAACTCTTAACTACTGGCTGAAGAATGCTTCTAGTTTCAAGAGGAATAAATTAATGACAACATATGTGTGAATACTGTAGTTATTGACCTTTTAGTCACTGTACAATGAAATGTTCAGCTTCATGAAGAAACAGTTTTGAGTGCAAAAGGCTGAAATGTTTTCACCGTCCAAAGATGTGCAGGCTAGGTGGATTGGCCATGCTACATTGCCCATAGTGTTCAGGGATGTGTAGATTAGGTGAGTTATGGGGGGATGGGTCTGGGTGGGATGCTCTGAGGGTCAGTATGGACTTGTTGGGCACTGTAGGATTTCTATGAATGAACTCACCACTCTCATTCCTATC